CAGCATTTGCTATGTCTATGCTATTATTACCAGTTGGCGCCGCACGCATTGCGCGCACAACACAGATCTGCGGCGAATTTTGATGGTGCGACGAAAATTTTCAAATTTGGCTTGATACACCACGAATATCTGAATTCTCAGCTAAATTCTATCCGCTCCATCATCGACGGCTTTCAACCTCTTTTTCTTCGTCAACCATTATCCTCTTTTCCGGTCTCCGGACTGCTTCCGGACAATAAATCTCGTGGCAAACTCCGCCTACTTCGGTGCGTGCCCCGCCCACCAATAGCATTTGGCCCCCTTCCTTTCGCCGACCTCTACCCCTTTTTTCCCGGTCTCTGGGACCTCTTGGAACCAAATTACGACACTTTTGGCAAACTCCGCCCACTTAGGTGCGTGCTCCGCCCACTAATAGCAGTTGACCTCCTTTCCTCGCCAACCTCTAACCCCTTTTCCCATCTCTAGGACTTCTTGGAGCCGAGTTATGAATTTTCGTCGCAAACTCCGCCCACTTTGGTCAAGCCCCGCCCACCGATGACAGCTGGCCTCCACTCCTCCACCCACCTCCATCCACCTTTTTCCCGGCCTCCGGGACTTCTTGGAGCCGAGTTATGAATTTTCGTCGCAAACTCCGCCCACTTTGGTCAAGCCCCGCCCACCGATGACAGCTGGCCTCCACTCCTCCACCACCTCTATCCACCTTTTTCCGGCTCTTAAGACTTCCCGGCCCGAATTATGAGGACTTGTAGAAAATGCTGTACACTTCAGAGCGCGCTCCGCCCATTGTGGGCGGCCTCCGCCCACGTCATGTATGCTGGAAACACCTTAGACATTGCTCCCCTACACCAATTTGTTTTCTGCTCTGTAGGCTTTCTCCCAACCGAGTTATGAAATTTTTCATAAAGCACTGCTTTTTTGGAGAACGCCCCGCCCACCGGGGGTGGGTCTCCCTAATTCGATGTGACTTACCAATGCACACCTTTACCCACTTTTTGGCCCAGTTTCGAGGTTGTTTTGTCACTGAATTTGAAATCTTGGTCGGTACAGTTCATTTCGACGCACGCCACGCCCACTGTGGGCGGGGCTCCGCTTAGCTGATGTGTGTTTTGTACTTCGTGAGACCTTGCCCACCCATCCCACACTTGACCCGGTCTCCTCCAGGCTGAGGGCTTAACCTTCATTAGGGTCGGATGTGGTACGATGGCGAGACAGGGCGATCAAAGAAGACAAAATACGCGAGAGCACGTCGTTTGAGAGAGCACGCTGATCTCTACATCAATGCACGCTGATCTCACCACTCTCGCGGTGGGTGGGAAGCGTTGGAATCGATGGTTGCAGGCCCGTAAGGATTAGCGCCCTAACCGCGCAATTTTCGCGACGAAGCTGGAGTGATCTAGGTAGGTACGGACCTTACAATTTCCCTCGTGGTATCCCTCCTACTAGTCGGGCTAATCCCGGGGTTTGCCTTTAGACAGGGTGAATAACGGTCGAGGAATTCCTCGACCATAGCTCTCTACCATGCGAGAGTAGTGCCGAGAGTGAACATCCGCGCGGAGAGCACAGACGGCACGGCATGGCGAGTGTGAATGTCCGCGCGAGAGATCGTCTCTGATCGGGCAGAGAATCCTCGACGTGCCGTTGAGGAATCCTCAAGCGATATTCACCCTGCTTTTAGACCGGTCGTAGATAGAGATAACAGCTGACCATTTCATGACGAATAGACTCAAACAGCACAACCAAAGTTCTTTCTTTCAGTTTTTGAAAAACACACCGGAAGAGTACATGACGAACATCATTTTGTACATTGATACTCTTCACTATAATTCAATTCCCGATTACGACCATGTAGCCGCGCATTTGGAAGCCGCTGTTAAGGTATGCTTCAGTACATTGCTCCTTTCCTGAATTGAATTCCGCTACCATCCCTTTCCTGAGGTGAATTTCTTAACAGTCATGACCTCATAACAGATTTCTCATGTACTGTAGCGGTCAAAAGTGTGCACCGAAACGGTTTTTCGTCTTCTCTTTTTTTTGCCAAAAAAATCAATGGTGGCCTCGAAAATTTTTCTTTTGAATATCCTGATTCTTTAAGACTTGAGGATATAAAAACACTATCAATCTTTGGAGGGTGTTGCTCAAGCGAGAAAAAATAATGCACTGAAAATCGTTTCGGCGAACATCTTTTGACCGCTCCTGTACATCAGCAAAGTGATACTAAAACGCACATTGGGTATGGTATCGTTACTCCGGAGTAGAGCGTCATCAGCTTATCTTGTAACCTTGCGTATGACCAGTCTCATCTTCTTACAGCAATCGGGCACCACTTTTCCCGTCTGTCCAAAATGTGTTCCATGCAAGATAACACCTTCTGGCGAGAGTACCACTTTTAGAGCTGTTTGTGAGTGTCTACTAATCACGGGTGGGCGTTAACGACTGCTCAGAATATCAGTAATGATATGTACTGATGGTGCAAAAACAATGATCTCTTGAGGCCAATTATCGCCAGATTCTCCTCACTTTTATAACGCCGAAGGGGAATTTTGCACGGGAAATATACAAGTCGACCTATCGAGTGAAATAAAAACTGACCTGCCATGTCAGAGTTTCGACATCTGAGCGATTGGTGCTATTTAGGCTTACTATCTGAACTACGATTCACCACCAGATTGGGATCTTATGGCAGAGTATAAAGGGCCACGGTATGAGAAGGCTGTAGGAGAAAAAGAAAACTAATAATTGAGGTTAGTTTCACACTTTTGTTTTTGTGTATCAGGAGGTCTTCACACGCACACTGTGCATATATTCAGTCCTACCACACTGTGGATTGAGCGGAACTTCTTTCAAACTCTACTGCTTCCACCCACTCCCCGCCCCCCCCTACTTGTTTAACTTCTCCATTAAACACTTTCCTAACTCAACTACAAATATTTCGTGTAATATAGAACATAATACAATATTTTTGACTTGTTTTGTTTGTTAACTGCTGTTTTTGGCCGCAGTTCGCCTTGCGAATGTTTCACAAGAATGCTGGGTTGTGAACAAAACTTTCGCCCCAGGCGGGACTAGAACCCGCACCTCTCGCTTTCTAAAGCTTTCAGCCTCGCGGTCATTGCCGATATCGGCTAACCGGCTCAACACGTTAGACGTGTGAGTGCTGAAAGCTATGGTACGTATACCATGAAAAGCTGAGTTGGAATGAAATGGTGCCCCGGTAGCGTAACTGGTAGCGCACTTGCCCGGAAAGCGAGAGGTGCGGGTTCTAGTCCCGCGAAACCTGGGGTCCGAGGCGAAAGTTTTGTCCACAACCCAGCATTCTTGTGAAATAATACAATATATTCTAAAATCCTCAGAATAGCGCGAACGTGCAACAACAAAAAATATTTCATAAATAGATCAGAACACACGAAAAACCAATTAAGTGCGGATCGAGGGTATTCGTACAGGTGTTTTTATTCATTAAGACAGATATAAAAATGCTCGTAATATAAAAGTTAATATACGATCAGGAAAAAATGAATTAAAGGACGAATTCACGCTGAAAAAGCAACCCATTTCAAATTAACCTAGGGATGGTGAGTGGTACACGAAAGAAGGAAAAACCATGAGAAACGGCCCAGAACCCGAGAAATGGGACCCCTTCCTTGCCCGTTGATTTGAGCATCATCGCTGTGCCCTCTTCAACACTACGCTCTCTCACCTATCTAATCACTCGCCACGTATAGACCTGCGGCGAGTGATCAGATGATCGGTGGGCGTGCACTGACCAGCCGCGCCAAGATTGAGCCTTAATAGGTCGCCGAGGTCAACTCCTTCGTGCAAATTGCGCTTCAGTTCGCACACTTAGGAGCTCCGCGGGTCCCTCAACCAGGTGAATTCTTCCTAATTCGATTTTCCCTCTGATCGTGAATTCGTCCTTTAATCGATTTTTTCCAAAACTCGACGATCCTTGACGAAGAAAGTGACTGCCCAGCAATTATGAAATGATAAAGCATGATAAAAATTTATACACGTTAATTTTATATACGTTACGTTAATCGTGAAAACGCTCAATTATTTCCATGAAGCGATGCTGGGAGGCAGTTTCAATATTTCAAGGGAAGGATTTTATTCATTCTTCATTTCATTTCTATGGAAAGATTGTTGAGTAACATTTCATATACTAAAATTATGCAAAAAATATGGCAAAATCATAAATTTATTCTTATATCACTGTTATAGTAGTAAAGTAATACTATAGTATAGTAGTAGTATATAGTATAGTATAGTAGTGATAGTATAGTATAGTGTAAAGTAATAGTATAGTAGGTAATATATCCGAATTCTATTTAGTTACTTACAAACAATAACATATTTAATTCAAAAATATTCAATTGAAACTTAGTAACTCATTTATTTATTGGAGAAATTAATTTCAACTAAACTCTTTTGTCCTCCCTTCCCTTACTGATGAGCACAGAGGGAGGAGACTCTACTTGTTTAGTCTCCGTCTAAGGGTCACGTGCGAAACGGAGACTAAACGACTTCTTTGCTCACCACCCCTTCAAATAAATATGAAAAACTTGAAGAATAATGTTAAAATTTCGATTTAAACGTCGTAATCAAGATAATAATAAAATAATAGATTAGTTTGATTCAACTTGTTTCTATTATAAACATAATAACTTCATTGTTATCTTCCCTCGTGTGGATTCGCACCCTACCTGAGCGGACGCCCCAAACTGAAGGGTGTGCCGAAATTAAGTACAAGTACAAATAACTAGCTAAGATTAGTGCAAATAATTAGTCAAGAAAACAAAAGCAAGGGAAGCGTTGAAAAACTCAGCACATTCGAACGAGGGTAGACAGGTACATATGCGCATGTGTATGCGCCACGATTATGACGCATCTTGTAATTGCCGAATAAACGGTATATCCCATTAGTCATGCTATATCACATAGTAATCTTTTGCTGCAGATCGTTCTCGTCTGAGCGAATTCGAACATTAACCATCAATCAATCTACTGATCATTTTATGTTTCAGGCTGTTAGTGCAAAGCTCATCGAATTCCTCTTCGCCACGCAAACATCTCTAAAGACAAATGTAATCCTATAGCGTGGTCCTATTGAACAATAAACGACCTTACATGTTTTTTGTATACTTTCGCGATGGATTGAACAAATTGGAGCTTTCGAGATTGATCTACGCGATGTAACGTATTCAACGCTAATCCTGATTTATAATATTTGCTAAGTATGCTTGTGTGTGTGCACCCGTATGTCACGAAATTCATAGCGCGCTTCGCTGCAGCCATGGAGCGCTGTATTTTGAGTATGATGTAGGGGGTGGGACGGGAACATATTTGGTGGGGGACCCAAAGTGATAACGGCTGATAAGAACTGATAAGAGGCGAATTTCACGAAATTCACTATGGGTTCATAGCAGCATTCCAAGAAGTGATGTTGAAAATAGGACAGAAACATTTGTGGTGGGGACCCAAAGTGATAACGACTGATAAGAGCTGATAAGAGGCGCTGAAACGCAAATTTCACGAAATTCATAGCGCGTGTCCCAGCAGCAGTGAGGCGTTGGTTCCAAGAAGTGATGTAGAGGGTGGGACGGGAACATATTTGGTGGGGGTCAGAAAGTGATAACGGCTGATAAGGACTGATAACAATATGCGTAAGAATATAGAAGTCACTCAAAAGCAGATTTCAGATAACATAATTCATTTCAGTATCATTTCATTGGCATTGCCGCCCTTAGCCCAAATTACCGCTGCACTTCCCAAAGTTAATAAAAGTGTAAGGTGGATGTTTGAAGAAGCATGATAATGAGTATTGGGTAATTGCAATTATACATCACCAGTTTAGCTCCGCACACTACCGCGTGCATGACACGGAAGGGCTCCGTAAAGCTGGCCAGCCGGTGGAGCGTTAGGTTCCGCCGCTAAACAATAACTTGCTTCGTGAAATGCGTTAGCTGGCCTTCCATAGAATGCCCATTTTTAAGCTCACCGTCTGATACGCGCGGTGGAGTGCGGAGCTAAAGTGGTGTCTGTAAACAACCACCATGCATTGGATGTCAGGATGATTTAGCGGTCGAATAATATTGATGCCAATGATTTTGCAATAGAAATACCCATTATCGTATATCGCTAAACATCCATCATACATTCTTAGGGATTTTGGGACTGTAGCGGTCGAACGGTATTTTATGTTGATGACAAATGAGATGATATGAAGTGAAATGCGTTATCTAGAATATGGTTATAAGCGATTTCTATGGTCCTACGCATATTGTGATTATCGGCCTATCACTTTGTGTCCCCCAGCGAACGTGTTCCCGTCCCACCTGTACATCACTTCCTGGAACCAACGCCCCTGCTGCTGGGACGCGCGCTATGAATTTCGTGAAATTTGCGTTCTAGCGCCTCTTATCAGATCTTATCAGCTGTTATCACTTCTGTCCCCCACCAAATATGTTCCCGTCCCACCCCTATATCATATCTGAGGGACAGCGCCTCAATGCTGCTGGGCGCGCGCTATGAATTTCGTGACACCTGCGTTCTAACGCCTCTTATCGGATCTTATCAGCTGTTATCACCTTCTGTCCCCCACCAAATATGTTCCCGTCCCACCCCTATATCATATCTTGGACAGCGCCTCACTGCTGCTGGGACGCGCGCTATGAATTTCGTGAAATTTGCGTTTCAGCGCCTCTTATCAACCCTTATCAGCCGTTATCACTTTGTACCCCACCAAATATGTTCCCGTCCCACCCTGTACATCACTTCTTGGAACCAACGCCCCACTGCTGCTGGGACGCGCGCTATGAATTTCGTGAAATTTGCGTTTCAGCGCCTCTTATCAGATCTTATCAGTCGTTATCACTTTCTGACCCCACCAAATATGTTCCCGTCCCACCCTCTACATCACTTCTTGAAACCAACGCCTCCACTGCTGCTGGGACGCGCGCTATGAATTTCGTGAAATTTGCGTTTCAGCGCCTCTTATCAGATCTTATCAGTCGTTATCACTTTCTACCCCACCAAATATGTTCCCGTCCCACCCTCTACATCACTTCTTGAAACCAACGCCTCTCTGCTGCTGGGACACGCACTATGAATTTCGTGAAATTTGCGTTTCAGCGCCTCTTATCAGATCTTATCAGTCGTTATCACTTTCGACCCCACCAAATATGTTCCCGTCCCACCCTCCTACATCACTATTCAAACCAACGCCTCT